CGTCCATACCAGTATGAGAACTATGAGTGTCTGTATATAGAAAACCAAAACCATTGGATCACAGGATCCTGCCCATGCTCACAACCATCGCCTTGGACCCCTTCTCCCTCAACGCCTCTTCAACAGCCGCACACCACGCCATCTTTTCCATAGTCCCCCACGAGTTCTTGATAATCTCAATCTCCAATCTCTCCAGATTCTCCATTTCCGCCAGCCGCCCTTCTTCCACCCATCGCTTGGCACCGCCCACCTCCTCTAGCCCGTCAACAAACTCGTCGTCGTCCTTTGCCTCCTCGCTCCTCCTGCCGACCTGGCCCACAATTTTCAACCGTAGGCCCCGGAGCCCCCGAGTCCACGATGCGGACGGTCCGGGGCCGCACAGCTCCGCCCACTTGCTCAGGGCCGCCTTCCGAGCCAGGTCCTCGGCCATCAGCTCCAGCCGCGCGTACCGCATGGCCAGGCGCTGCCACGGCCGCTGCGACTTGGTCACGGCCGCTGCCGCGTTGAGCCCCGAGGAGAACCAGTTGAGGAAGACGAATTCGTTGTTGGCAAACGGAATCTCGCGCGCCTCAAAGTAGACCTGCCGGCAGGTGCAGAGTAGGCTCGCCGGCATCCCCGCCAGCGGCCGGTCCGAGCTGAGCAGGCCCGGCGTCGTCATGTTGAGCTCCCGCATTCTCTCCTTTAGCCTGTCCTTGATGAGCTTCTTCTTGTCCTGCTCCGCCCTCATCTTTTCCCACTTCTGCCCGCCGCCTTCCTTCTGCTCACTGCCTTCTTTCTGAGCGTTACCGTCTGAGCACTTGGACTCTTTCGCGAGCTCTATAATGGTCTGTTCGTTTTCAATCTCTAGCTCTATCTGTTGTTCGAGATCGGGGTCCAGCGGGTGTAGCACGTAGCGGCACAGCATCGGGATCGGATATCCCGCCGCCAGTTCCTTGGGCTGGATCGGACTCATCCTGTAAGCCCAGTAGTAGATCCTCAGCCGCACCTCCGCCGGGAGAGATAAGAAGCGCGACGAGTTTGCCCCGTTGACGGCATTCGAGTCGTTTCCCTCACCAGCGGCGTATGGCTGGATATCCTTCCCGTCTGTTGCAACGGCCGCATTAGTGTCGTCTTCATCAATTCCAGGCCCGAACCGCTTGTAATAGCACACCGCAGGCGGGTACCAAAACATGAATGGACAGTACTCATACTCCGCCCCCGCCATGACTAGATGAATCGCATGAGTATCCTGTACGTTTATATCCATAGAAAATTGCAGTCCGTTTAAAAAATTGAAAGTCATGGCGATGGAAAGAGGTAAAATGGCATGAGGCGTGGATTTAAGTAAATTTTCCGTCTCGTCCTCTTTGCAGCCCTCTCTCCGTCTTTCCGAGGAAGACGGCCTTTACTGGTCTTACTCAAAAAGCCTCCTCTCACCCCATAGATAATGGAGAGTAAGACTGAAGGATGAGGGGAAAATAAACAACATACCAATATGCGTTATACAACATGGCAGCAATGTGAGCACTAGGTGGACGGTCAGCTGGCTGATCTTATATCTTGTCACTAGCCGGTGCTGTGGCGGCTTACTGCTGGGCCTATTGGTGAAGATATTAGAAGTAATTGGCTTTTAGAGCTTTGACAGGTGGGATTCTGCTCTCAGCGATGAGCTCATGGCACACAAGGTTCAAGAAATCAGAAATGAGAAGAGCACTAGAGGATCAATTCGCCTCGGGATGGAGGGGAAGTTTAAAGTCTTTGCGGGGAACGTCACGATTACACATGCAGCTCCTCAGCTGGCCCGAAGCTGTCACATCCGACCATTTCGGGCTCCCTTGCATCCCAATGCGCGCTCTGATTGACCATCATCCTTATCGCTCCAACCAGAGGATCAATCCAGCCCTGCGATGTCGTCTGACATCCGCTCGCTTCGATCGCCTCGGTTGATCTCGATACGTCATGGGCTCGAAATAAAAGGAAATAAACAAATTAATGTGTAATTCCGGGGCAACGTTGCCGCCTTAATCTCATAGGGCCAATGCTGTGCTTCGTAGCTGCATTCTGCAAGCCTTATCCCTGTGCTTGAACACCTTCGATGACATATTATTCAGGGACCGGACGCTATGACTTGACCGTGTTCGTGGAACTCCAGCAACCGCTCGCACTAATAGAAAAAGGGAAAGAAAAAAGACACGTACAAATCTAACACCAATACCGGATCGCCGTCGCCATGATTGCCATAGCAAGATAACTTCCATAACCTCCAGTATTATGGGTGATCGTTTGATTCGTCGTCTGAGCTTGTCAAAGAAGCAAGGCACTCAGCAACATTGGAAAGCAAGCCGTCAAGGTCGTCAGCCTAAGACGAGCCTGGCGGTATATTCACTCCTTCATATCCCCTTTTCCCCCCAGATTTTCTCTCGTATTCAACATTCCGCGGCACGTCGAAATCTCCTCGCGCCGCAAACCAAAGCAGAGTTTCCGGCTCAGGTCCCCTACCCACCGCCGCCGATTTTGCTTGATCATTCGTCGCGTCCATGGCGTCATCATTGTCCTCATCCTCGTCTTCGTCCTCGTCGTCTTCTTCGTCGCTTTCTTCGTCCAGACCTTTTCTCAGTCCTGTGCGCACCTTATCGACGCCCATCTCCCTCTCTTCTTTGGTGTAGACATCGCCGGCCTCTTCTCTGACATATTTGGCAATCCTGTCATGTGTCCATTCCCGTAGCTCGTCCCATATGCTCTGTAGCTCCGCAATGCCCTCAGGCGTAGCTAGGCGCGCCGTCTCGCGTCCCTGTGAAACGAGCTCCTCCACATCTGGCTCTAGCTTCTTCCGCAGCAGCTGGGTCAAGACGCCTTCTTGTGTTCGTCCGGGATAGTTTGTCGATGGATGCACGGCGATGCGCGAGAATAGTTCTGCGTTCTCGCTCAGATTATCTAATACCGTCTGGAGGTTACGCTGGAGGATCTGGGCCGAGGCTTGTAATGAGGAGCTGCACCAGAGTGAAACCGTTAGAGCTGTCAGGCATTGCGCAACGAGGGGGGGCAAGCATACGGGTGAGGAAGTGGATTGCTCTTGAGAATGTCCATCTTTAAGCTTTGTATGCTGCTCGAGAGCTGTGCCAACCGAGCCAGTGTCTGCTCAACCGACTTGAGCTCGTCGTCGTCCAAGCCCAGCGTCGCCATCGTATGCGCCTGTTGGTTTTGTAGCTGAAGCGATTTGTCTCTTTCTCGGCGCTCTTCCTGGTTGCAGTTGCTGAGGGGATTCAGTTCAGAGGTGAGGATTCAAGCAAGACGTGTTTGTAAGAATTGGATACGTGGCACAATGTAAAAGTAAGTAGAATTGCAGTATGAGGGAGAGCAAGTTTACTTTTAGCAGTGACGTTGAGTTTGAATTTATTATTCAAGTACAGGTACCAACACGCTCTCGTGGGGCAGGCGCTAGGCATGGTGCCTGCCGTGGTGGTAACCAAGTGGGGGCAGCCACTAATGAAGCTTTGCAGGAAATTATATAAGGCAGTTTTTAACTGTTGGCTGAAGTGTGAGTATTCATAAACGGCATTCTTATAAGGTATAGATATAATATTTTAATATTTTTTAGTTTTTTTTTTTCCATGATATATTTAAATTTAATTTCCAACTACAATGCTCATCCAAAAAGCGTTACTCCAAACAATGCCTATCAAGCCAACAAGAGTCCCTTCGCTATGTATGCCCCCGCCAATGTAAAGTCAAGTAAGAGTCAATCTGATGCTCATAATGGCAAGTGGCATGCTGTAAAAGAAGAAAAAGGAAAGATTGAGAAAAAACAAAGCCTGATGCTTAGCTCCGAGTCGAATTGACCGTCTTTGAAATCTCGTATCCCTGCGAGTCCACAAACGGATATCTCGCACGCCTCTCCAAGTCATCCAGCGGGATGTTTGATCGGATATACCTTTAAAAACGAACAATGATTAGCAATCCAGTACATCAAAACATGACAAATACAGATCAAGATACTCACTTTTGTCTGCCATCATCCACTGGGTCGTGGTCCCAGCTTGTAAACGCCCCCTTGCTCAACGCATCCCACACCAAGCGTCTGCTTCGCTGAGATTGCAACACCTTTTCTGTAATGGCATCAAAGTCCCACTTGGCCTTTGCTTCAGCCTCGAAATTCTCAAACACAGCCTTGGCCTCCTTCTCAGCCTCCGTCTGCGGCTCAATCTTGCCGGTAGCGAAGCGCGCCAAGTTGTCCAGCTCCAGGGGATCCGTCTTGAGGTTGAACAGCTGCGGCTCATCAGCCGGGCAAGTAATGTACTTCCAGTCTCCTCGTCGAATCATCATCATGGGGCGAACAGTTCCCTCGCCCGTGTACTCGGCAAAGACCGTATCGCCGCCTCCCTCTTTGCCCAGTAGGTGAGGCATCATGCTTACGCCGTCCATGGGCAAGAAAGATGCAGGCTTGGTGCCGATGATGTCGCAGATCGTGGGCAGCAGATCCAGCGTCGAGACGTTTTGCGGCACGCGGCGAGGGGTGAACCACTTCGGATAGTGGACCAGCATGGGGACTCGCACAGACGACTCAAAGTAGCTCATCTTGTACCAGAGGTTGCGCTCGCCCAGCATATCGCCGTGATCGCCGCTGAAGATGACAATGGTGTTGTCCATCAAGCCGGCGTCTTCGAGCGTCTCGAGCAGCTTGCCGATGCAGTCATCGACGTAGCTCACGGATCCGTAGTACGCTCTCTTGGCCCTCTTGATCTGCTCGTCTGAAAACTCCAGATCCCACAGATCACAGACTTTCAGAAGACGCTTACTGTGAGTGTCCTGCTTCTCCTTGGCGATGCGAACCTTGGGCAATTCGATATCCACATCCTCGTACAGGTTCCAGTACTTTTTCGTAATGGTATAAGGGTCATGAGGATGAGTAAGAGAAACAGTCAGAGCAAAAGGGCGCTTGTCAGGTCCCTCGCGAACATGGTCCCAGAGATACTGAGTGCTGCGATACATGACCTCCTCATCGTAATCCAACTGGTTGCTCCGTCCACAAGGCCCGGCCTGAAGAATCGAGCTAGCATTGTGATACCACTCGAGACGAGTATCCGGTTCATCCCAGTTCACAACCCAGCCAAAATCACCCGGATAAATGTCACTGGTAAGACGCTGCTCATAGCCGTGCAACTGATCGCCCACAAAGTGCATCTTGCCCGCCAGAGCGGTGTGGTAGCCCTTTGAGCGCAGGTAATGCGCGTACGTGGGGACCTCGGAGTTGATCTGAGAGGCATTGTCGTAAGAGCCAATCTTCATGGGCAAGAGGCCGGAGATCATGCTCATTCTTGAGGGCGCACAGAGCGGTGAAGGGCAGTAGGCAGAGTCGAACTGGACGGATGAAGCCGCCAGACGGTCCAAGTTGGGCGTTTTGATCTGAGAATTTGGATTGTACATTTTGAGTTGAGGAGCCGCCAGCTGGTCGGCCATGATGTAGAGAATGTTTGGCTTCTGCTCTGGGTGGGCGGTGGGCTGAGGCGCCTCTGAGCGCGGCAGCGTGTTGAGATCGGGAGCCATGGCGGTTGTAGTTTTGACAGCACCGAATAGGATATGTTTTTTCACTATAGTTGCAAATAAAGATGTGCCGTCAAGATGAAAAGAAAAGAAAAGACAATAATACGTCTTTTGTCTGAGTCTTATCGTGCTAGTATTTCCAAAGGTCTGAGACACGGGATGAAGTGGCACCAAGACGGGAGAGTAAGTAAAGAGGTGAGACGTGATATCAGATTGTTGTTCACTTAAAATCCACCAGTATTATATAAAAGATTTGATAAACCATGCACACGACGCACTTCTCTTCGTGGAAGAAGGCAGATAAGAAAAAAAAGAAATCTGTTCACAAACCAAGCCTGGCGCGTGCGTCTCGCATCCAGCCCATCCTTATATGAATATTGCTAGCCTATGTGGAGAAGACAAAGAGCCCCGACTTCCGGCGTTGAATGGCATCATCACGCGAGCACGCAAGAGACTGCATACGGAGATGGAAGCTACTAGTTCTAGTTTGTAGCTCTCTCGACACTGTATGCATCCTCACCTCACCTTGGTGCATAAAATTAGATCCGTCAGACTCTGTTTGTGTTGCAGCACCGCCAGCACCTCGAAAGTAGCGGCTAATCAGGCAAACAGACTTTGTGGCCGTGTTCCATTCCAGCTGCTCCGATGTGG